GAGGCACAGATCTGACCTGTCCTAGGATACTGTTTTCATATTTGGAGTTCAACACCCAAACATATCCTGAAACCGTTGGATTCTGTCCAAAAAAGAACAATTTGTCTTGTGGGTGATGCCTCTCTCACAAACTCACTCACTTCTCTGGAACACCGTAGGAAAGTTGGCAATCTGGCCCTATTTTATAGCTATTTTCATGGACGATGATCTTCTGAAAACTCAACAATTGTTTCTTTCTTGGCAGTCCCTGCGAGATTAACCCGTCTAGTTGATGCTTCGCACCCCTTCGTGGTCACTTTGGAGACCTGCAGAACATCTCTTTCGTTCTCGTTCATTTCACGAACAGCGAGGCTCCGGAACACATTGCCAAGGAAGGTGTTTCCCGAGGCATATAACCTCCAGAAATTCAATGAATTGAGGAATTGGACGAACACCAATTCCTTCCTTATTTCCCTTGGTTCCCACGATGTTCTCTGAACATTACAGGATATCCCTTTTCGTGGGAACCAGATCATAAAAAAAAATCAAGTTTTCATAATTTTTTGAGTTCTACCCTTCATTTCTTCATTTTTTTTAATCAATATAATTTATTTTTGATACCTGTTTGTATGTACCACGAATATTGTGACTCAATACTGATGAGACGTGAAACGAGCTTCAGAAATAATAACACATAGGCTTACAGTGTTGCCAAAATTCGGAGGTCTCAATATGCATTCTGAATAACGGAAGCCACTTCGTTATACATGTATCAATCGTATATATGGACATGGAGCGCCACCAAACACTGACGTTAAACTCTCGAACTAAAAAACTTTTTTGGAGGTATGGGGTGGTCAAAGTGACCTCCGGAGAAATTTTCGGGAATGGCCTTCTGATGACATCTGCTGGCTATTGTGTTGAAATGAATGGGGATACGTTGTGACTTCCGTTTTCGGAAGTCACAACGTCATATATGAGGTGACAACGTATTACATGTGTAACGGTGTGGAGGTGACTTTATACTGTCTATCAATATATATATATATATATATATATATATATATATATATATATATATGCCTTTATTCATTCCAAGAAGATTACAGTGAATCATATATTAGGAACTAGAGCTATCTATATTTACAATTATAAAAGTAAAGATAAAAGTACGTATATAGGTAGAAAGCACCATACAAAAACATACCTAATACATAAATCAATGTGGAAAAGCATAATAACATCATAGACACAATTCACACTCATCTGATACAGCCTATGAGCAAAAGGGACATGAAAAGGACATTATATTTGTTTACATAATACATATTATACTAGATAAAAGAAAAAAGGAACCATGCGCGCAAAGGAGAATTTTTATCCGGATGAGCATATATTTCAAGCAAGTAAATACTGTTTTAGCTTGGTTTTGAACATGTGATCAGATACATGCGTGTTTCTAATACTGACGGGTACATTATTATAAATTTTCAGGCCTTCATGAAAGAGAGACTTCTGGCCATACTTGGAAAGAACAACTGGTAAATAAAGATTTTGGTTTTGCCTTGTACCATACTGATGTATATCAGATACAGTTATCAAATGCGTTACGGAGTGCTTTCTTGCGTTACGCTTAAACGGAGTCGTCGCTATATATATATTATTGGTCGATCATATATTTTGCCACGGCTCCGGCTCGCAACTTGAGCGTGTTCAAACATATATTTTATTAGTTCCTATGTTTTATTTGAAATGGAATGAATTTTATTTTCGAGTTTTGTTTATTATTTGAGATTATCATCAATTCGAAAAACTACAGAAAATATATACAATTTCTCGACAGAATTTAGGGAAACATTTCTACACAGTAAAAAAGAGTATACAAAAAAACAATCAAACTAAAAAAATGGGCTCACAATCAGAAACTTGTTGATACACTAGCGAACAGCAAAGATGCAAAAACTTTTTGGTCCACTCTTAAACAATTACGGAGTAAAAATCCACAAGTTAACCTACCACTAAGAGTGTGGGAATTTTTTTATGAAAACATTACTCAACCGCGGATCATTGACAACACAATATTCTTTGATGTTAGAAACCCTTTTCTTGACGAACCTTTCACCACCTTCGAAATCTATGCAGTACTCAATAAATGCCAATTTCTCCAGGAGCAGATAAAATACCTTACGAGTTTTATAAATATTTACCGAATAACTATGGGTTCTATATCTGACAAATATGTTCAATAAAATGTTCGAATCACAAGTCACTCCTTGCAATTGGGGCGAAATAGTGCTAAAAATGATCCACAAAATAGGGCCCATAGACGATCCTGAGAACTATAGAGGCATTGCATTAATTAACTGTATAGCAACAATTTTCACCCAAGTTTTGCTAAATAGGCTGATCACGTGGTCTGAAGAAACACGTATAATCCCTGAATGTCAATCGGGATTTCGAAAAACGCGAGGATGTATAGACAATGTATTTTCTTTGTGTTGTATAATTCAACTCCAACTAAGACTCAGAAAAAGGAAAGTTTTCACCTTATTTGTTGATTACAAAAGAGCCTTCGACTCCATCTCATAACTTACTTTGGCACAAACTGTACAATATCGGTCTGAGCTCAAGATATATCTCTATACTAAAAAATATCTACAACTCATCGACAGTTATCATCAAATCTGCTGACGGGTACACAAAGCAGTTCGACATCACCACAGGAGTGCTACACAGAGAAAAATGGTCCAGGTACACAAGTACACTTGAGTAAAATTTAATACCTACAAATATATTATTGAACTTTTGTACCATTACAATAGGTGAAATTTTTTTTCTGATATCGACTTCCAGTAGCAGGTTAACTATGCTCCTGGAACAGGCCATCTTTCTTGTGCTTGATCAATTTTTATCGATGTGTTTAATACTCAGTATACAACAAGCCACCTAACATTAATATAATTGTCCCTCAATCCTTGTTTTCTATGAGTGAACGGAATAATTCTGCCATTATTACCAGTTTAATAACAGCAGGTGACAGTTCACTTGATTTCTCTGTTTCGTCATCATTCGGCTAGTTTCGAATACCCACGATTACGCCACGAGCTGACTGCGCAACTCTTCTGCACTTCATTCCATTAATGAACTCAGTCTGTATCTGTACTAAGAATATGTACCTTTGGTGTTTGCGAACACTTATGCGTGCCTTTTTCTATTCTGGAACATTTGTGTTGTGCATGTAAGTTGAGTGATTGTGACTATTCCAAAAGCATTTCTCCCAGTGACATTATCACTATGGAGCGACTAGCCCCAAGTCGAGAGTTGAAAAATAGAAGCAGCATAAGCAGTTCATCGACGACACTTTGAAACAGCAGGGTTTGGCGAAGTTTACGAAAACTCTTCTTTCTTTCTTGGTGAGTAATATACCATTCCTTTTTCTCCGTGCATGAAAAAATCTCTTTGGGCACAAACCTTTTTTAGTGATATGTTTTTCTCCTTCCGAAAATGATTCTAAGCCCTCTAGTTCCTTATGTTGGTTGATCATTTGCAATTAATTGTTAAATCTGATATTATATGTCCGCTTTATTCGTGGTTCTTGCCATTTATTTTTCATTTGAAGAGGTTATATTTTGAAAATATCTCCTATTTTGGTTGTGACCTCTCAATATTTTTATCGAGTGTGCTCTTTGGTGTCGAAATTTCAGTAGGGAGTCACTTGTTAAGTAGTTTGAATTGTGTTGAAGATTGAAGAAATATTTATAATCTCAGAAAAATAAATGAATTGTTGTTATTACCCAAACCGAGGAGTTTTTATGGTTATATTTCACAAAAGCCGAGAAATAAATTGGGAAATATCAAAATGACAAGACTCTCTACTGTGAATGTTTGCAAAAAAATCTTATTTCTGATAGTAGGTACACGGGAAAAAATTTCAGGAAACGGATCTTGATTTTTCTTATTCGGTGTCTCTGGATTTGAGTCAAAGTGAAGTTTTATAAAGAATGGCCTTACTTGGATGGGCTCACGGGACGTTCGCTACGTGTTACGAGTTTATTCTTTCAATGAACCTCTTGAAATATTTGTTTGAATTTTCAAGAAAATAATAGGAGGGATCTAACACATTATATAGAGAACTTTTCATATTTCAGGGTGCTGATGGTAATGATGTACCTGATTAGAACTTGATGCCACTTGATCTGAATTCAAGAGGACCTAGTACCCCCGCGGCCCGCAGATAGTCCATCAACGTCTGAAATATATTTAAAATAATTATTTCAAGTCCATTTATTTATGTAGTTTGTACTGAAATTACAAATGACTAGAATATATTATGTAATGTACCTATATTTTGTACAATGTTTTTTCTCTTCTATAGAATCATCATCCCCATTGTGTGATACCTTGAAAATATTTTCAGAGGTATGCACATTGAACATCCCCAATATTTCAATTGAATTGCACATCTGAGATAATTAAATTATGTTCCAGAGACGAGTAATTTATGATCCGAGGACAACTTAATAATGTTTCTGGAATAATTGTATTCTTCAGTGGTAGTAATTAAAGGATGTACCTAACATCAGTTAGATATATCTCAGAGAATATCACCTATTTTTCTGTAACAGCATGCTTTTTCACCTGTGGCAACTATATAGTATTGAAAATCTATTAAACTATTGAATAACTATCATCGAAGTGTGAACCTACAACAGGCGAAGAAGTCTGTAAGATAATATAGCAATGTTTCAAAGGGAATTACTTAATGTTCAATGGTAATTAAACTGTCTAACCAATGTTATTCAACACTTCAATAATCCTGAGTTGATTCTAAATATATTCATTCATTAACGATCAATGAACTATATAATTGAGTGTCTGTTGCAGGTATACCAATTCAGGTAAAATATTTAATCTACCACTATCATACTGTATATCTGTCCCATATAGTATTCAAGTTTTTAACTGTGACGATTAAATGTTTAATAACCATTATTAAAGTTTTTTCTCTGTGTACAAGGCGAGTCGCTCAGTCCTCTACTATTTTCTCTATTTATGTCAGACATAGAAGAATATTTCACTGGAAAGGGAGCAGAAGGTTTGAACATTGATAACAAAAATAATTTGATGATGCTTCTTTACGCGGATGACCTCGTCATCTTAGCGGATTCAGAAATTGATCTCTCGCGTAAATTGAAAATTCTTGAAGAATACTCAGATAAGAACATGTTAACTGTCAATACTATAGTAAAACAAAAATCGTTCCTTTAATTCCAACTCATTCTTTTATAAAAATAATCGTATAGAAATTTCGAATCAATACACTTACCTTGGAGTCACATTTACGAGTTCTTCATTTTTCCGACAGATGGCCAACATCACCTCAGAAAAAGCAAAACAAGCAACAGGAGCAGTACTCCCCATAATGGCTTCTGCCAAATTAGATTGCTGGAATTCTCGGGTTCACCTATTTGAATCATTGGTACAAAGTGTGCTGTTGAACTGTGTACCAGTGTGGGGTCTTAGATATCCAGAAATCTTAGAGAGAGTACAACTCAACTTCTTCAAACGGCTCTTGCAATTGTCTACTACAACACCTGATTATGCAGTCAGAATAGAGACAGGCCAAGTCAGATTAAGCTATATCATCTTCAAACACACCTCGAATTGGTTTATTAAGATACTTGAGATGGAAGATCATCGCCTTCCGAAAATATGTCTCCTTCGTCAAATTGATCTAGCCAACGGAAATGCGTCCTGTCTCATCAGGTATAACTGGGCTTCACAATTCAAATGTCAACTCGAGTACGCGGATTCCTCCTCCTCGTTGAATGAGTTGAACAGCAGTATCCTAAGGCGAAACAAAAAAATAATGTTCACTAAATACTTCGAGAACCTGAAAATGATATGGCTCTATTGAATGGATCCTCAAGCTCCCTCGCTCTTTATAGCTACCTACTTCAAAATGAATACTGGTGCCCAACAGTACCTACACATGAGAATCCCTATTTCGGTTACTTGAACCCTGGCTCAACTCGCTAGCAAATACGCCATTAAATTCACATATAACAGAGCTACCTATGGAATGAAACCTGCTGAAATATGTACCATCTGCAATCAACATCAATATGAAACAATCAATCATGTCCTATTCGATTGTCCGATCTACGTCACGATGAAACCTCCAGACCTACCTCTCTCTGATTTGAACGGGTTGGTTAACCTCTTCAATGATATTACGCCCTCATCTGCAAAAAGTCTGAGTACCCACATTTGGAATATTTGTAGACTCAGATCCTTTATTATGAACGAATGAAAGCTCAGTCAATGTGCTTTAGGCTGAATGTATAATGGACTATACTTTATTCGAGGATTTTCGCACATAGCTATTCGTCCACTTAGATTTAATGCAATGACATGTATTGTATTAGGTATCTATATGTTTGTAATAGGGCAGAGGGCGCCTGATTTAGGGTTTATACTTTTTTTTGTTTCTTGTTCTTTCTTATTATTTTCTTCCTACTCGCTTTTGGTATATATCATGTGATTATTTACTTTTTCACCACTGCATCAATTCGGTGGTATATCTGTATTAGTCATAAGTTTTTGCTGCCTCCAACTGTATGAACTCCTTGTTATGAAACCACGTGTTTCTGTAAACAATAAAGATTCTATTCTATTCTATTATCAATTTGAGGCAATTTGATCACCCTATGGTAACTCAGTTACAAGGATTTTTGGAAAGCGAATATGATACCTCAAAACTAATGATTAATCATTCAGGAACTGACAACAGAATTGAAATCGGATGTGTATTTCGTAAGTAATACAGTTTTGAATGAGAGTGAAATTATGCACCGTTACGTTTCAATTGTTGATCAGTTTAGTTCACCCTGCACGCTCCCCTTGTAGATCCGGTCTTAAGTGAATAGTGAGAATTGAAAATATATATTTTAATTGTGAGCTGCAATAAAATTATGTACGTTCATAAAGTATAATTGTGAAAAGTAGAGAAGGAGGTATATCATTTTTCATGAAGTAGATACAAATGACACTTCTTTTCCCGTTTTTCCGATAACTTCCAATATTTCTTCAGCAGATAATGTTGTTTTCACTTTGACGCTCTGAGTTTCTAAGCTGATTTCAAAATCCTCCACTCCTTTATCTGAAAAAAAAAACAACAGAGTGGGTCAACTGAAAAAATTATATTTGAAAAATAAAAGGAACGACTGCACTGTCGATTCTCAGCATTTTCGCCAAAAATGCTCTTGCGAGCTATTTCAGTCACACTACACTGTTTTATCACTAACCAAAACGATGTTTTCAAGACCTGCAAACTTGTTTCGCTATGTTAGCATCTCCAGTAGAAGATTAAAACTAAATAACCTATTGTAGTATGATGCTTAAATACTAAGTATGTTCACATAATATGGAATAGATCCCTTATCCGTATGCATAAATCCGAGCATAAATCTATATTCATTCTTGAATATTCTTGGCTTGTATATGCAGCCAATTTTCTAACATTATTCACTTGTTTGGCCAATTTGATGTTATTAATGTGGGATCGCAGGGTACCAGCCTGTGAAGCACCGACCCCAAGACCAACCCTCAGCAACAAGTGCTCGTGTGGATACCTCCCGGGGCGAGACACACTTCTTTTACGACGGTGGTAGAGCAAAGACGATTAAGACGAACGACGGGCTCAAAGACGTTTACTACCTTTTTAGTTTGTTATTACTCATCATTATTCAGTTCATTTGTAGTTCTCCAGTAATATAGTCATTAATAATAATCGACACTCTTTCCTATTAACTAGTATCCCACATTAATGTGTGTGATTATGATTAAACATGTGTTCGGCTACATTCTATTTACCTAATAACCTACCATGTTTCAATTGTGTTGAGTATTCCTTGACAATTGTTTTTATGGGTCGTATTGTTAGGACCTGTATACAGCGTGTCTCATCACTTTAAACGCCCTTCCCACCAGGTAGCAGAGAGTGACCTAATCTAATTGACGTCGATTTTACGTTTTCGACCAAAATATGACCTATAAATGACGCCTTATTTCATGACGTCTTATTGACGTATAATACTGGAGGCCCTATAATAAAGTCCAACATTCTTCTGTTCAACCCAATAAAAAAATGAGTCGTTTTATTATCTCCTCATCGTCTGTTGTACAGGGTCATTTCGTATGTTTAAACAGCTTCTACAGGGTTCATCATTGAAGATAGAAAAACTTCCAGGAAAATGTACGAAGTGAAACAAAGAAATATCGCTGATATATGAAATTGATACCCACTTCGTTATCTTCAATTAAATATCCCATATATTTTTCAAGAAATTGAAGATCTTTCTTTCCCGATTTCGCAAATAAATAAAATAAAGGTTGTTGATATTTGGTTCAGCCGTTTTCAATATATTCGAGGTTGAACATGCAGTCTTCAGTTACAATTAGGTTTCACCAAATCGCAGTTGCCATGAAGAATCAACGACACATATGCAGAGAAAATATGACAGAAAGTTTGAATTATGACAACCTGCATATGCATGTGTTGTTAATCCTTTATGGCAATTACGATTTGGTAAAATGAAACTGTAACTAATTCTCAAATGTTAGACCTCGAATCTATAATAATATTATAAAGGAGAACGATTTGTTTGTTTGTTTGTTTGTTTGTTAGTCAGTTTGTTTGTTTGCAGTGAAACAAACGACTCCGAAACTACTGGACCGATTTGAAGAATTATTTCACCTTGAGAAGCCGACATTATCCCTGATAAACATAGGCTACTTTATACCGCGGGAAAATGCTTTATTCTTACGGCAAAACGGGAAATAGTACAACGGGTAGTGAGAATTATCCTTCCGTACTTATCTATTTCACATAACTACTAAACGGCTGAAACGAATGGGTTGATATTTTGTACGGATATTTCGATGGTTTCCTGGGCGATTTTAAAATATAACCGGACGCGGTAGGTGGCACTGCTGTCGGTACGTCAACTACTAAACTGCTTGATTGATTGGGTTGAAATTTTGTATGTGTATTTCCATGGTTGCATACTGAGAGAATGCACAAATAGGTGTAAGTATATAATAGCTATAGGTGAGCACAAAAAAATGAATGAAAAATATGTAATGTAGATACGCGTATTGCTCAGAACGACCGGAACAAATGACTTTTTTTTTATTGGTACACCAATCGTGCGAACCCGGGCCGGACAGCTAGTATTCCATATACGGTTGAACCGAATATTAGCAACCGATATATTTTTGAAATCAGAAAATAATTTTCTAAATTTTTTCAATAAATATATAGGATGCTTCATTGCAAATAACGAAGTTGCTACCCATTTCTTATATCAGCGATATTCATTTGTTTCACCTCGTACAATTTTCTGGAGAAACCCTACAACTTGAGTATTTGAAATTTTTTTCTATCTTCAATGATGAACCCTGTAGAAGCTGTTTGAATATTGGGAATGACACTGTACTAAATTTGAGTTTGTATACACGTTTCTCTACAACGTGAAGCTCAATTCGCCAACTTATTTTACATTGTCATAAACTACCATTAGTTCCCTTACATCTCACCGACATAATTTTAGATACAAATATATAACGATATTCTCATATACAGGGTGTTTCAAAAAAACCTGACCCCCTTGCTAGGGGAGGTAGAACACTGCAAAATAAGTTGGGTTTGCTCAGTAAAAAAATGTCATTACGGCCTCCGTTTTCAAGATACAAGGTGTTGAAAAACTTTTTTTTCCAAACCTTTAGTACGATTATGTCGAAACTACTGGCACCATTGTAATGAGATTTTGTATGAATGTGTTTTGGAAGCTGACACATCGCATGAATTCGTTTTTATATCTGACTCTCATACAGGGCGCTAGTTACACGGTTCATACCGAGTAATTTTAGTCATACATTTTAGGTTAGAATTTTTAGTCCAAATTTGATGTGAACTTGAACATAATTCAATTTTACACCAAAATGGTACTCTTGGTAAAACTTGATACTGTATACCGTTTTCGAGGTATTTTGATTTTAAAATGCTGAAGCAATAACTCTGATTCTGATATTAGAATAAGTATAAAAAACAATTGCCTATTTATTAATGAACAAACACATTAATATTATTTTACTGGTAAAGTTATTGGTCAAACAGAAAAACATCTTTTTAGAGTAAGTGTTCAAAATGTCCTTCATTTTCACGAATACACAATTCTATTCTTTTTTCTAGAGAATGCATCAATCTTCTCAACGGTCGAGGATCAGCTATCAGATCATTAAATAAGTGATGTTCAATTCTTTCTTGCAGCTCTTGTCGAGAATTTACCTCTGTAGCATAGACTTTTTCCTTAATATACGACCAAACTGTGTAGTCTAATGGATTGAAATCGCATGAACGTGGAGGCCAATGAATAGGGGCTTCTGCACCTCTACCAATCCATCGATTCGGATAATTGTTACTCAACCAATCCCGACACCTTCTATCAAAATGTGGGGGAGCACCATCATGCATGAAAAAGAGAGATATTCGCTCATTCAACGTTAAATCTTCTAATATCTCGAATAAATTATTTTCCAAAAAATTGAGGTACATGTAACCATTTAAATTTCCAGGGAGAATGTGATAACCAATCAATTTATTTCCGAAAGTTGCTGCCCAAACATTAACTTTAAACGAGTGTTGGTAATGTGATACCCTTTTAACATGTGGATTTTCATCACACCAATAGTGCGCATTATGCGAATTGAACATTCCTTGTCGCGTAAAGGTCGCGATCGTCTGGCAAGAGTTCTTGGACTTGTCTGTAATGATAGGGATGTAGCTGTTGCTCCTTCAATATCCTCCAAGTACTCGCAGATGATGTATTTGTTTGTCTTGCCATATTCCTAACACTAATTGTTGGATCTTGATCGACTAAGTTTAAAATAATATTTTCTTTCCAAATGGACCTTATTGTTCTAGGCCTACCAGAATTAATTTTTTTTGATCTCACATTCCCAGTTTCTCGACAACGTTGTTCAACAGCTCTCATCGTGTTTTTACTTGGTATGTTTCTCCGGGGAAACCTTTCCGCATAACGCCTAACCGCTGCACAAGCGTTTCCTGAACACTCGCCTAAGATTAATAACATGTCGGTGTATTCATTATTTGAATACATTTTGATTATAAAAACGTATTAATAAAAAAATGATCAATGTTATTGACATTACCGTCATGACAATCGATAAATGTTAGTTTTCCAACGATACCTCAGACAAAACAATTTTGAGGTTTGCGAATAACCCCTCACTTTTTTAACGAAGGACATTTGGAACACTTACTGGTTGAATATTACATGTTTAAGTAAAAATTATTTCAATTTTTTTCTCATAATTCATTTAATTGATAACTCTCACATTAGAATATAAGTCATTGATTTTGGTTATCAATAAATAGGTAACAGTCTTTTATAAAACTTACTTTCAATTTGCATCAGAGTTATACTTCTTCATTTTCAAATCAAAATATTCCGAAAACGGTACGCAGTATCTTTTCAGTATGAAATTAAATGATATTCAAGTTCCCATTGAATTTGGACAGGAAAATATAACCTCAAAAAAGTTATGTTTGAAATTACTCGGCATGAACCGTGTAACTATAGCGCCCTGTATGAGAGTCAGATATAAAAACAAATTCATGCGAGGTGCCAGCTTCCAAAACACATTCATACAAAATCTGATCACAATCTTGCCAGTAGTTTCGACATAATCGTACTAAATGTTCTGAAAAAATTATTTTTCAACACCTTGTATCTTGAAAACGGAGGCCGTAATGACATTTTTTTACTGAGCAAACCCAACTTATTTTGCAGTGTTCTACCTCCCCTAGCAAGGGGGTCAGGTTTTTTTGAAACACCCTGTATAGCTGCGTACTATTGTTAGTGCAAGGATTGAAAAAGACTACTCGGAGGGACCATCGGGCCATCAGGGCCACTACATGTCTGCCGATACATTGGATTGGTATACAAAGTTTCATTTTTTTGCTACAGGGGTTCTGGAGAAGTTTAGAGAAATCTCAACTTTTTTCGTACTTTGGACAGCCAGTGAGGATGCATTTTAGGACATAAACTGTAAGTCCTCTTTCACTCCAACTTCCAC